AGGAATGCCAACCTGGGACTTTGCTGATTGCTGGGCGTGGTAATATGGTGAATGTGTTTGGGTGATTTCTCCGACCTGTGACCCAAGAGGAAAAACTGCATGACTAGGCGAGAGATAGGGTGACAGAGTCACAGGATGGGAAGATGTGTGTGTGGTGATCATGAGCCGGGATCTGGGGAGGGTGGGGATTGACCCGTGGCCATTGCGTAGCAAGCAGCAGCGTCCCGGCGTGGGACCAGCCCTGCACAGCCCACGATGTGACCTCACCCTCCTCTTCTGTGCAGCTAGGGCCAGCTGCTTTGTGGCTCTACCTCCAGGATCTGGACACTGTCACGCAACCACAGACTCCACCCCCAGCTTGTTGAATTCTGTATTTGCCCTAAAGAGAAATTCTGTGTTGTCAGTGCTGGATTCTGTGGCCTGAAACTTACCTCAGGATTATTCATAGTGAGATAGTTGCAGTCCCTCTTTCCTTACTGTTTGTCACAGTTTGTTGGATACTTACGCATGCCAAACACTGTCCATTTGGCTCTTACTTTCCCTAAGAATAGAAACGGGAGGATAAAAGATAGTCATGATGGGTTTCACAGTTTGCAAGTTAAGTATTTTGTAGATAAATTCCAGAGGTTTTCGGTTCTGGAGCAAAAACAGCATTGGAGAAATAGGATGAGAAGGGGTAAAAATAACTTTCTCTTGCAGAGAACTAAGTTTATTTTAATGGATGGAGTTAATGAAAAAATATAAGATGAAGTAGTGAGTTCTGTGGTTGTAGCGGACGGTTTGGAAACGGGTCAACAAACTATGAGTTGTGGGCCACGTCATGTATTTGTACAGACTACAAGCTAAGAATAGTTGTTAAATCTTTAAATGTTTGAAAATGAAAAAGAACACTGTTGTGTGATGTACAAATGACATGAAATTTGAGTGTTCTGTAGTGTTATTAGCACAAAACCACATTCCCGGATGGGAGTGTCGCCTGCGGTGCTCTGCTTTATAATGGCAGCACAGGGGAGCTGCCGCAGGAGCTATGGTGGGTGGCCCACAAAGTCTAAAATGTTTCCTCTCTGGCCCTTTATAAAAAAGCTTGCCCTGGCTTAGAACAGACGTTCTCTGAGGAGTGACAGTGTTACTAGCTTGTCCAGCTTGTTAGAAGAAAGAGAACCATGTCCTTGGGAACTCTAGGAGGCGTAGCATCTGATGGTTTTCTTTAACTATCTTGGCTTTTTTTTCTGTTAACAGAGGTATCGCACGAAGCCTTACTGTTGTGGCCTCTGTAAGTACTCCACAAAGGTGCTTACTTCATTCAGAAATCACTTACATCGCTGCCATGAGGATGAGACTGACCAGGAGCTAGTGATCCCTTGCCCGAACTGTGTCTTTTCGTCTCAGCCCAAGGTGGTGGGAAGGCACTTCAGAATGTTTCACGCGCCGCTGCGCAAAGTCCAGAACTACACGGTGAACATCCTTGGCGAAACCAAACCCTCGAGGAGCGACGTGATCAGTTTTACGTGTTTAAAATGTAACTTTTCAAACACTCTGTACTACAGCATGAAGAAGCATGTGCTGGTAGCCCATTTTCACTACCTGATTAACTCCTACTTTGGCCTGAGAACTGAGGAAACGGGTGAGCAGCCAAAAACGGACGAGACCCCTCCTACTGAGAAGATGCCACCGCCTGACAAGTATTACTGTAAAAAGTGCAACGCCAATGCCAGCAGCCAGGATGCTTTAATGTATCATATTTTGACGTCAGATATCCACAGGGATTTGGAGAATAAGCTTAGGTCCGTGATCTCCGAGCACATTAAGAAGACTGGGCTTTTGAAGCAAATGCACATCGCTCCCAAGCCAGCCGTCAGCGTGGCCAGACCCTCGCCCAGCAGTGCGCCCGGCGCCCCGGCGCCTTCTCCCTGCT